AAAAGTCTGGACCATAAATGAAAAAAAGTTGATAGATTGGACTTCATCAAAATTGTGAAGTTTTGCTTTTCAAATGACAGGGTTAAGACAAAAAGTTAAGCCACCTGCTAGGAGACAGTCCTGGAATACATATCAAGAACTCTACCTGGGAGCGAGGGGCTCAAAAAAAGAACTGGTACCCAAAATATATCACGAAGTTTACAACTCAGTAATAAGAAACAAGGTAAAAAAAAAAAAAAAAAAAAAGGTGGCCGCAAGCCCGTGAAAGGCGTGTGGCACCGTCGGTCCCCAGGCAAACGAACGTCAGCCACAGCGAGATGCCACGACTCCTCTGCTCCAAGGACGGGAAAAATCTCGAAGCCGACAGCAGCCAAGTGGAGCCGCAGCCCACGCACGCGGCTCGCGGGGACACGGCCCGCACGGCGACACGTCGGGAGCGAACTCCGCTTCCCCCGGAGCCCAGCGCCGGAGTCGCGGTAACTGGGAGGATGGCAGCACCCGCCCCGACGGCCCAGCCGGAGCAGCAGCACGCCTGGCACCGCGGCACAGGCGAACACTCGTGACGGGCCACCTCCGCAGGTGGGTGGGGGGTTCTCCGAAGCCCACTCGGGCCCCCGGAAGAGGCAGACAGCAAAAAGTGCCGGTGCATTCTGTGGCTCTGAAACTCTGGAACCCCTGTGGGACAGCGGTGGCGGGAAGCGGACCGAGCTTGCTCACGGCTGGCGGTGGGGTGCTGGGGGCCGCCAGTGAAACGCTCCATATACACGGACATATCCATCTTCCCAAACCCGGGGCCGTGCGCCCTTGAAAACGGGCGCATTTTATTGTATGTAAATTATACCCCAGTAGAAATGACTTTAAAAAAAGATCACCCGGGGTCAGCAGCTCCTGGACGTCAGCTGGGCACAGCCGGCGCCAGCACCTGAGCTAGGTGTTTGCCTCCCCTGCCCGTCTTAGCCTCTAGTGCAGGAGCCCAGGGTCTGTCACCGGCCAAGCTGAGCAGAGCCAGCGTGCGGACAACCAGCACCCGCCTGCCATCCATCTCCCGGCACAGCGGGTCCGTCATCCTCATCGGTCACTCCCCGCCGGGGTGCCTGGCTCCTGGGGAGGCCATCGCCGCAGACAGACGGTCCTCCCTCCCTCGGCCCGGGCTGGGGCCTCCCGCCCTCCATTTCAGCCGGCACAGGAGACTCCGTCAGAAGAAGTGGCACCTCGACCTTTTCGAAAACATGAAAACCCAGCACATAGAACAGACCCACCTCCGTTTCCGTTTTCCAAGTTTGGGGACCGCCGCCTTAGGTTCCTGATTTACTAAGAGTTTTCATCAGAAATAGGCATTAAACCTGACCAGATGTTTTTTCTGCATCAGTTAAGATAAGCGTGATTTTTTTTTTCTTTTCTTTCCTTAGCGTGGTGAAATGTGGTAGGTTTTCTGATGCCGAGCAAGGCTTGTGTTACTGCGAGGAACTTTCCTTGATGACGGTGTGTTTTTGGCAGCTGATTTGCTAACGTTCACATATCGTCTCTGCCACTACATTTATATGTGAAACGGACCTGGCAATTTTTTCTTATATTTTCCTCACCTGATTTAAGAATCCAATAAGCTGGGCAGCTTTCACGCTTTTCCCACTTTCCAAAACAATTTGAATAAGATAGAAATCGAGTGTTCCTGGGAATTTTGGTTTCTTTGAGAATCCTGCAGAAACGCCTCTGCGTCCGGGCCGGGCGCTCTCGGGAGAGACGTGTTTGCTTATCATTTCCGTTTCCTTAATTCTCAGTGGACATTTCGAATGCTAACCTTTGGAATTTCCCACTTCATCTGGTTTCATCAGCCTTCTGGTGAACACCTCTTTATGACCCTCGTTCTCACCCCGTTACTGCCCTGGTCCTTCCCTGACTGATCTCTGCAGGCAGCAGTCTGGGTTCTGCTGCTTGTGTTCACGGGGCTTCTGTGTGAAACTCACCTTTGATTTCGTGGTTCCCTGATTCCTGACTCCCTGAGTCTGCTCTGTAACTCTGCAGCTCGTCATGTCCACCTCCACCGAGACGCTGGCTCTCACGCCCGCAGACTGACCCCATCCATGACCCTGCCCGGTGCCGGCCATCCACTGGCCTCTCCACAGCCTGGGGCCCCCGGTCCCATGGGCAGAGAGCCTTTCAGAGGCCAACTTGCAGGCCAGCATTTTGGCCAGGCGGGGAAGGAGGTGACAGGGTGGGTCCCAGGTTGTGGGGGAAAAAAATGTGGGTTCATCAGATCCGTCTGGTTAATTTCTGGAGTCTCCCTGCGCCCAGCACAATGGCCAGGAGGCCGTGAGCCCAGCCTGACCACCCGAGGGCCGCCTCTGCTGTAAGGAGCCAGGGAGGGGCTGCCGTAGCCCCCGTGTGGGTAGGAGGCAGGCGTGCAGGGAAGGCTTTGCCTGCGGGTCGTCCTGAGGCCAAGGCCCCCCC